CAGTAACAAAACCCGATGCTTCTCCATCCGAACTTCCACTGATTTCTTGTTCCAAATGCAACGCCAAACCGGCGCGAACACCCCTGATCTCTACGTGTCGTCACATCGCCTGTTTCAGTTGTTGGCGTTCTGTAATAGAAGAGGCAAGTGCTCAGGGAATAATATAATAACTTTTTAAAAGACTAATCTACGCCCTCTCCCCAACAGCATGTTGATGAAGATAGATGAAAAATAGCTATATGGGCAGGTTGTTAATCGTACCTATTGTCATATTTTTCACTTGATGGTAGAATCGGCATGCGAAAATTTATGGACCATACACGAGAAGCAATGGACATAGTCATACCCTCGGTTTCTAGGTCACTCTTTACACTTTCACAAAACAGATTAATGCTATAAGACCAATCAGAAATCGTCCTTAGACATATGTGTTCTGAAGTATGTTCGGTCGTCTCCGATATTTTGGAGGGTTGGTGAGTGATCGCTGTGCAAGAAAGTCGAAAATGGTGGCGAAAGTATTTTAACGTGTACGAATCTGCGGTGAGATATCTCAAGTTTGCACAAGTGTGATTTTTTTTAGGAATTGACGACCGAAGCTTTCGTACAAGCAATGCAATATGTAACGACTATAGTTGAATGGAATCCAGTGCTCACTCGGACAAACCTCACGTCCTTAAAGCGTGATTTGACATCAGAGTCTGTGTGATTCGCTAAATAAGCTAGCTTGCCATGCAACATGTACTTGGTAATTACCACAAATATTAGCTTTTATTCCTCTCACTTTAGTGAGATAAACTTTCACCTAATCTGTCGGGGCCTTTTGTGATTCACCACTCGAAGTCTCGGGGTTTAGGTTGCCGGTTTCCACTACTGAACAGCAGGTCCTCGTGACTGTGGGGTTCGCTCACGCTGCTGTTCATCACACTTAGGTGTGTTTTAAAAAGAACCTCGGCATGTATGTACCTAAAACTATCGTGGGATGATTACACACTTCATTAGGGCAATAAAAAATATAAGTGAGGTCTTGCCAACTTTAAAGTAAATCGAGCTTTTGAGACGTTCCTTTTCCTCAATATAAAAAATGTCATGTCCGTGTGCGACATCATTTTTCGGTGCATGGTATAAATTTCGTCCCTTTTTCCTACTGACCTTCCTTTGTTTTGCAAATCTATAAGTAGTCGTCAGAGGTTCCTTTCGGTCATATATTGTGCCGTATTCAAATTTGGNTCTAATATTCCGTTTTTGATTTCCGGTTTGCAGGGCAATCGGCGTTGTCCCTCATGTAGTACCTTGCTTCGGCGTCGTAATCTGAAACGCTTGGTTATTTCCAATGACACCAGCTGATGGCGGGTTCGAAGTTGTATCTTGGTTTCTCCATGCATATCTTTCTCGCTCCTTCCGTCCCGTCCCTTATTGTTCGTGTATTTACGCATTTATTAGTCCTGATAAAGACCGAAACGAGACTGTACCTCAACCCGATTTTATGCACTATTTCTATAGGTATTTTTACGAATTATTTTTGCCATCCATTTGACTTGCTCAAATAACTATAGCGACGGGAGGTCGATATTTGAGGGGAAATTATTTCCAATCCCCACAACTCGTACTTTGCATTTCTGTTTATGATATGATTTCAACTCCCTTTGAGATACTATTGTAGACCAGAAGGGTCTGAGTGAAGACTAGTCTTTGTGGTCCATTCAATCATCCATTAAATTGAATACTGTAACCCGGGAGTCTGCGGAAAATATAAACGTGATTGTGAAATACTGACGATCTTTCCATGCATTCCATCACATGCTACCATGGCCCGAAATCGTACATGAATCGACGAACAAACTTAGAATGAAAATTGCATATGAACGAAACGATCTGCGAAGATAACTACTCGCCCATTCATACGCAACAGGGACGTCAAGCTCCCTGAGTGGAGCACTTCAAAGCACGGTTTAGCCGGCCACCAGTGTCAGCTTATCACTCAGCTACCCCGGCGCACGCCCGATGGTCTGTCTCAACAAATCCACCTGGTGAGGCGAAATCGGTATGGGGGATCCAACTTTTTACAGTACAAAGCGCGGGCTTCGATGGCCTCCCACCAACTCTATTTAAGGATGGCGGAATGACGCTTGTTAGAGATTCACAAATCCCGTTCTTTAAAATTTGAAATACCTAGCAGGTCCCCTCCTCGAGGGGAATCGATTGTTGGCCTCGTCTTCAATAATGGTCCGCGCAGTGACTGTTTCGATCATAAGAGTATTAGCCTTATCGCAATAGCACCGACTCGTCTAGCGTCCGTCCTTCTCCGCCGATTGTACACTATGTGTGAGGATCAGACCCGCCAGGAGCAGACTCGGGTTCGTGCCGGTCTTGCATCGGTTAAGTTCCCACCCTCCCACAGCTGCTAGAGCACTGGCATGCCTACCAAAGACCAACGATCATTGTATTCTTAGACATCCGTGCGGCCTTCGGCTCTGTCGACAGGACCGCACGATGTAACTGTCTGTAGAGCAATGGAGTACCTGAGAAGAATGTATCGATCCTCAAAGAGTTTTATCGTCCTACCTCAGGTCGAGTTAGGGCCTATGGCCAGTTTTCACCACCCCTCGCCGTCTCCAGTGGGGTTCGGCAAGGCTTCCCTATATCCCCATTCCTTTTCAACTTTGTCATAGAGGATGTTCTACATAATGCTTTATCCGGTCTAGAAGATGGTGGAGTCGAGCTTCTCCCAGGAAACAGAGTGCTTGACTTAGAATATGCCGATTACATCGCCTTGCTGGGTACTAACACACAGGCAGTCCAAGACGCCTTGAACCACTTGGCGATCGAAGAGCCAGGATATGGTATGTGCTTTGCACCTTCCAAGTGCAAAGACTGTTCAAGACTGACAGGAGCCTGTGCCTTAGAGCTATAAGTATATCGGGTTCTCGATCGCAGCTTTCGCCAACCGGCGACACTTGTAGCGCCCCCATGACATCCGAGTGTTCCGTAGGGGAGGGTGCACATCGCCGTAGTTCGTTTTGCTTTATGGTTGCGAAACCTGGTTCTCCGCGTTGAGGATGCTAATCGACTTTCTGTATTCGACTACCGATGTCTCCGAAGCATGGCTCGTGTCTGGTGAGCAATGACGAGGTTTGTCGTCGTGTGTTGGATGTGGATCGTCGTCTAACAGAAGTAATCGCTTTACACCGCATCCGATGAGTTGTTCACGTATTGCGTATGCCTACCCATCCACTACCTTTCCGTACTCTCTGCGCCCGTGCCGGGCAAGGCCGGAACGAGCGGTGCGGCAATCAGACCATGACATAGCGCAGAGGTGCAGCCCATCTTCCAGGTTGGTGCTCAAGGAATGAGAGTTGTCGTAGGTTAGAGACGTTTAGAGATATGGCGGGAATGCTGTACGGTCTCCCTGTCGGAACTGATAACAAAAAATATCAAAAACTGTACGATGAAACAATAAAAATATCTTAGTTATCCTAGTTTTCTATTTCAACTGTTCCACCTTACTGTGTATTTCAAACCACCATCCCCATGTTACTGTCATTGTAATTATTGTTGTGGCCTCGCTACGTTGATTACAACCATTGTAAAATATATGATAAATATATACCGTGCAAGCGTCGGTGCAGACTGTATATCGTAAATCAACTTGATCTCAGAAATACGNCCGGAACGCGACGAAACACATGGCTTTGCAGCTCCTTCATCAGTTACGTCATTCGGCCTCATTCCACGACAGCTCGGTCCGGTTACAATTATGTGCTAACATTATGAACAATTGTTGAGATGATAATTCTCAAACTAGTGAATGCCGCACCAATCGCCTTACTATACACAGAAGAACAAAGGTTTCATTTTTACTACCGTTTATTGAAATGTACAGTTTTCAAGGAGGAAGCCAATCAAAGAGCTGCCTAAACGGAGAAAGACAGGCGGTGGTGGTGGGAGTCGAACACACGTCCACCGAAGTGATAATTGGTGACGTTACCACCGGACCCAAACCCCCCAAAGTGTAATTTCTGCAACTGGATTTTGATTTGCTACTTGCAATGGTACAAACAGCTGATCGAAAAGTTTAGTATTCTTCCCAGCGCAGTCCGATGAACTTCAGGCAATCTCACCATGAGTGAACAATTACGAAAATCAATGGAATCCCTTCCCGAGTTGACGTGAATACCTTACGTTTCATCCTTCTTTAAAACTGTTTTGAACAAGAAACGCTGTAAAAGAATGTGCAACGCTAAGAAATTAAAATCATTAGCGAGTTCATCTCCCAAAAGCTCTTTTTTGGGGAGTTCTTCAAGAGCTAGTTTGTCTGTTTGACTTCGAGATAAAACCTACAGCAATAAGTATTACAGTGTCTAATATCAACCAGGCAGAAAAATAACTTGGATTATATCAGGCGCTTTTATTACAATGTCAGACGAGCGCAAACGCACATAAGGATGGTGCAGTTACCCGGGAAAATTACTGACAATTAGTGTAAGACCGATAAAACATCTATCATATATCGATTGTTTGGAAGCTCCACGAGAGAGAGATTGGATCACTGAACGAAAGTACAAAAAGTAGATGAGTGCGTTCGATATTGTTTTGGTCATCGCTTATGGAATTGTTTATCCGGGTTTTTCGCATGTTCCATCAGAAGTGAACACGGCTCGAACTGGTCACCATAAATCGCTCGGAACTCGTCCATCCGTGAGACCATATTAGCTGAACCATGCATGTCCAAGTAACGGAATGGACCTATTGATAAAAAGAAAATCAAGAGGAGCGAAGTGGAACAGCTTAGAGCCTTCGGTGATTTCGATCGACAACTGAACGCGGATTTACGTTCTGTATATGGTATAATTCATTCTCATAAATTCAAATAAAAAGGTTGCTATGATTCTCTCTTGCGCACCTTCCTATAAGGAAACCTATGATTAAATAGATCCATAATTCGATGGAATGAATCAAGTAGACCTGATAAACAAACTCCGTATTGGCTTATACAGACCGGTGTATGAAGCTGTCTCTGGTTGGTTCTACTGGGGGTGGGTCAGTAGAAAAAGAATAAACAACGGTTACGCAATTGGTAATTATTCGACAACTACGCGGAAACAATGACGTCAATCAATTATTTTATTTCTGAGCTCTTGAGCACAAAACTAACCGGTTGGAAGATAAGTAAATTAGAGGCTGAAGGTGGCAGTGGTCAAGCGGTTGAGATTACTGTCATACCAGACTTGATGTAGCTCTTGAATTCCGCCACTGCTATCTATTTTTGCAATTCTTTATTATAACCAAGCTTTCGACTGGTCGCAACTTTTTTAACACTCGCCATTGTGTTTTGAAAACGTGTCTAATGTGGCGACATTGCTGCGTTTCTTAATGTGAAACGGAGGTTAGAGATGCGGTGATTACATCATCACTGGAAACTCAAACTTTATATTTGTTTTCTGATTTACCGGCATTCGAATCTTTAAATTCATAGCCGAGGATAGGCTACCGGAAACCAGCTCATTTTCATTATGTAATACGTTGGCATTGTAAAGTGTTATTGATAAGGGTAAGCGTATAAATATTTTCAGTTTCGAACTTCTCGTTGTTCAATTGGCAAAAGACGTTGAGGGGAATTCGGAGAAGAACAGGAAGAGTAACTGCAATTAATTCATGGAGAACTTCCGGGTTCCCTATAAGGATATGGGTCTTACAGTGGCCCACCGAGTCATGATAGATATTCATACACAATACGATACCAATTACAGCTGAATGTACCGTAAAACAATGAGTGAGTTGACAGGGTTTCGCTATAAGAAAAAGCAAACGAGAAAAAGGTTTTCAAGAATTTCTGCGAACACTGAAGTTTGAGATTAACTAAAAGACCATCAACAGTGCCTGTGACCAGTCGAGTGGGTTATTCCAAATTTACTACAACTCAAAACAATTCTTTCATCATGATCGTTGAACAATATGTAGTAGTGAGAAATAAACCTCACTCAGATGGAAATATCCCGTCTGGAAACATGCACCTGCTTTAACGTTAGAACGTATCCACTCAAATACTTAAAATTGTCTTGGCAGATAGAAAGTGCACCACTATTGTCGTAGAATGTACCGAAAAAGACGAGTTTCAGTTTGTACAACCATTAACCATGCACTACTGTGCGAGATGAAATGTCAACATGTCTTAATCAAACGTTAATTTACTCATTTACCTGATCTTCGCTATATGGATGGTGTGAGGAATGAGCCAAGAGAACTTGGGCGCGTGCGTAAACTTTGGGAGTGCAATGAAATTAAATCCCAGTAATATGTAACGAGATTCGCCCTTTATAATAAATGTTTTTCAGTTTGCTTTCATATGTATTTTAGTTACGAATCATTGAAGCGAGTTTATTATCCACTCTATTCTATTTACAATACTATCTGTAAATGTTTCTGTAGCATCGTTATCTAAAAAAGTATTCAAATACGCACCAGTAACTTTCAGACGGAAAACTCAAGTAAACTTTATGGCGCATGATAGTGTTATCAATTGTCTTTAAAAGTTGTACAGTAATCAACACAAACAAATGTAACTTGAGGGGTTATCGTTATCCCTAATTATAATTGAGTGGTGACTATCTGGTGGTACTTGCTTTCTCAACTAAGTCAATGCTCTTCTTCATCCTAGATCACAAAACTCGTCCTGCTTATTCGAATTTTTATTTCCAGAATACGCGTACGAGGCACACTATGTTTGGATGACAAATCAGTTTACACTAAAAGCCTGCGAAATCAATATTACCCACTGAAGGCCGAAGTGAACATTATTGGCTTGAGGCATGTTGTTTGCAATAATAAAGATGTAATTTACGGCACTGAATGAGAGCGGAAGGCGACAACACTACTGCCGTAACCTATACATACCACACAATCCAAACCCGTGTACAAGCATTTTCAGACAGATTGACCCGCTGTATAATGTCAACAAGAGCTCTATGGTTGTCGGTTCGCTGTCATGTGAAGCCGATAACCAGGGTGCTTAAATGCGTCTCGATGTACCATTTCTTGTTTGAATTGAGGGCACAATTAAATGACTAACGAACACAGCCGCTGAGATTCAAACCCTTACTTGTCTACTTTAGGCATTCAAACATAATATTATTATTTTCTGAAAAGTCAACCGAGTTATATCTAGTCGATTCATTAATCTCGTGAATCCTGATACCTCTGGAAAATTGCAGTACAATAAGGGGAAGTAGTATCTTATGAAATATTCGTAAAATTGCAGTTATACTGGGTAGAAGAAATCCAAATCGGTGGAATTCACCGTTCACAAATAAATTAAACACTGGAGAAGAATAGGTCTTATGGCAAAATGTCAGCACCGTTGAGAGCTTAAGTTTATTGATTGGCTCAATATCAGATTGTTTAAAAGTAAGGAAGTTGCGCCACACGGAATTTCTGGAGTCAATAACACACTCAAAACTGATGGCTGATTTTATGAAAAATATGCGAGAGCCTCAGGAAAAGCGGAAGTAAAATAAAAGTTTAGACAACGCTCGTAAACCAATCACACGATCAACGATGTATCATTATGGTTTCAAAAGTATATGATCATCCGGTTAAATTTCAACCACCTGTTACACTGAGAGACTTCAAGTGTAAAAGTTCGGGGCATGGAAGCTGGGGAGAAAGGAAACAGTAAGATGAGAACAAAACAAAACTTATATGTTCAATTCAGATCAGTGATGTTCGTTTTGATCTGCGCAAAGAACGGAATTCCAGTTCGGACTCGACGAGGTTTAGCTAAATATTCATGATCGCAAATTGCTTGTATGTCTTAAACGAGGTCTTTGATTCACCTCCTGTTTGCTTGATTCCGGTTACATTTTTCCGTCTACTACATTTTGCTCGCGCACCGGAAAGCCCATAATATTTAAGTAGGAATGACTCTCTTTTCACGCAAGACCCTTCCTTTAAATGATATTAGAGAAATGGAGTACTGGACTTGACCAATATGGTGAATTTCAGCATGTACATTACAAATGAAGCGCGTTTTCACTCAGTTGCGTAACATCAGCAGCTCAAATCTATCCACCAAACGGGGGATAAATTCAGGACCACAGAGGTAGAACGCAAGCATACTCCACACACAACCACAAGGCAGCTGATCAGACCGTTTGCCTATATCCGAGGGTGGTGGTGATACACTGATTTTGTAGCTGTCAGCGGCGTGATTTGGATACTATGGTCCGGGGTTCGAGCCCCGCTAGCGGCACACGAATTTGGTGGTAAGCAGCTTTTCAGTCGTCCGGTTCAATACCACGTCTAACCTACTGGGGCCTCACGTGGTTCAACACTCCAAGTCCCGAGGCTCAGGTTACCGGTTTGCATCGTGACTATGGGATTCGCTGCTGTTCATCTCACTTAGGTGTGTAATTAAAAATAGCAAAACCGTTCCTTGTGAGCCTAATAAGGGCATTGAACTCTCGCTCATCTCTGCACTTCCCACCAAGGTTGTGACTTGGTCGGCAACATTGCGAAACTGACTAAATATTCAATGACAAAATCAACACCTTTCCTTTATTCTGAGCGAAATCACCCAGTGGGTCCCTGCACGTTGAGTTTCACTTCGCGCTTATCGCTCTTTTCAACAGATCATATCAATACAATCGTAGTCGAAGTTTCGTGATATCGTTCGTTCTCTTGACCGCTGCTCGTTGTACGTATTTCGCAGGCATCATTGGTCTAGACACTATACATGTTACCAGAGAGTAATGACCAATTTTATTTGAAAAATTCTCAATATCTACTCCATAGAGAGTGCAAAAGTAAGCACTTATTTAGCTTTGATCATGTTGAGCGTACCACTGTCGGCCCTCAAAGTGATTTGATGTTAGTCACCACCTGGTCTTCTCTGCATGTTTCAGTTTCAGTTTTTACAACCATTACCATACACTTTCATGCACCGGTTTTGGTTGCTGTCTTTTTGTGCCCCATTTGGATGAATGTGGAAAACCAATTGAAACAGGAAATAGGGAATTCATATAGACTGGTGCTAATGTGATGGAAGGCGGTACGAAGAGAGTCCTGGCTAGTGACCGGATCAAGAATGGGGCTCATTCGACCACACGCAGGGGCGGGTAGTGCCTAGCGAGACAATGTTGACTACCACCCGAAGAGAGCGAATCGACAATTACAGCGCGACAGACAACCCGCAAATAACGGGAAAGATATCCACCGAATGCCACAACGTTGGAGCTGTCGATCTCGCGCCGCGATCGGGTCAAACCAATCGGAATCGGAGGCAACTTACGTAACAAGTGCGGACGAAAACCAACAAGGAATGACCCACAGAAAGAGGTATGAATCATCCCGCCGCGCGGTTGAGAATTGATTGTATATATTCGAACGCATACACTGTTTACTTTTGAATTGGATCAATAGACGTTTTTCCCAGCTCGCCTTCTCGCTACACTAACACAATAATGAGTAAATCTATGGAAGCCACTGCCTTAGCC